CTGGGAACAGAAGTAGGCCTCGAGCCTTTAGCAGCATTACAGACTGTGGATTCACCCCAAACAATATTGTTTCAGAATGTCAGATCGCTCGTATGAAATGACTTCAATCAGTTTAACATCAGAACTTGCTATTGAACTGCTGTATGCATTTAAAAGAGTGATTTTGCCCGCGTGCTGACGTCCACTGCACTGATGAAAGAGATAATAACTAGGCTATGAGCCTCTCTTATCGTAAAACACAAATCACCCCCATGCCCTCCTCGTTTCCTCCCCTCCCGTTTTACGCTTGCAACGTAAGCTGCGATTCTTAAGAACTGACTTACGGCTTTCAAGCAACACACTTCGTGAATCTGTAACTGCTTCAAAAACCGCGCGATCACACGAGGTAAGCCGTAGAGACAGACAAATCAATACTGATTAAAAATATAAATATAACCATCTGAAACCTATTTACTTGATTATAAAATTTTGTTCAATTATCCACAGCACTAAAAGCTTCTGTTGCAAAATATTAATTATTCGCAACCGTAATCGGGATTTACACAGCAATTATTGAAAAACAAAGATTGAAAATTTAATCTGGAGCTGTGACCACAAATTCTGACAAACAAAGCGAGCGCTGAATAGGTCTGTCATAAAGATTTTAAATTTGTTGGCTTTCATTCTCACGCCACGAATGCGAGCAGTCTCTCTTTTCCTCGAAAACCGTGGGGGAAGAACGCAAAACACGCCCGCGCTACTAGCGGCTCGAGGCATCGCCGCTCGCACGTCGTCCTGACAATCATGCTCGCACGCTTACTTGTTTTGCGTTCTTCCCCCCGAATTTTCGAGGAAGAGAGAGACTGCTCGAAGTCCACGAAAGAGCAAAATCGAAACCAAAAAATAAAAGGGGTTAAGAATCTCAAATGTTGTAATAGAAGACTTAATGAATGATCAACTTCTCCGAGGCTTTGGTCTGTGAGATATTCTGTACTCAAGTTATCCGTCACAAAGTTTCACCCGACAAATTTATACTATAGAGCTCAGTATGGAAACGCCAATATGTGTCCCGAGAAGCTAAGGGGCACTGACTCGTCTGGAATTAAATTCTGCTACATGTATTCTAAGGGGATCAGTTCACCCTCATGAAGCAGTAAACATTCACATAACCACTTTTCCTGACACGTTAAGTCTCCAGACTGCTAAAAATCTCAGATAGAGTTAGTCATTCTTTTAAACCTACGTGGACGCCTTCTCGCAGCCATCTTGACGTGAAATGAAAACTTAGGTTTTAGAAAATGCTCTACTATCAAAGCAAATGCTATCGATAGATTTCACGGGTACCGA